GGGGGTTTGTGTAGCTGAGAGGTGAAATTGGATTTATGTTCCCCAAAATGCAATGCATGTGATGTTGATCACGTGTTCACTCCAAGGTTCAAAATATCGATATATCGTATATCGGATTCATATCAGTTTGGCTTGAGCATATCGAATGTTGGATATCGGGTGATATATCGAAGGATTGTAGATATATCGAAGAAAATTTATCCAGATTTTTTCCCAATATTCTTTGTAAAAAAGTCTTGTTAGTAAAAGTAAAATATATGGGATCCGCGTGAAAAACTTAAATTCCTAGTAGTGTACCAGTTTTGAATAGGAGCTAGCCATCAATCCTATTCATTTATGTCCTAAATCCAACGGCTGAAAGTAATGGGATCCGCAACTTACAGTACATGGTTCCTCCATCCAGCATGTTCTAAAATGAATGCCTGATCCTTCTCAAGAGACCTGGGCCATACTGATTCCTCTTGGGCCAACCATGTTGCAGCTAGAGGTTGACAACATGTTGAGCTGAAAAGTTTGGTTTGGGGGGAGAAACGTAAAAATAAATTTAAATTATGTTTTTAATGTTTTTTGTGTATTTAAAAAAATTGGGGTATTCGCTGTTAACAAATTGTGTGGATTGAATTTATCAATTCCGATTTTCTTTACAAGATAATTTATTTCTACACCTATACATCAACAATTTTTTTGCCTTGAATTTATTAGCAAGTCTAAGTTTTTTTCCTCCTAAAAATCACCCCCATAATGTTAAAATGTGCATTGTTGCGCATACATACTAGAATATAATATTAAAATATATAAAAATAATAAAAAGCGAAAAAGACCAAATAAAACATATGAGAAACCTAGGGTACGTATAATTAATGGGACGGTCAACTACAGATGGGAACTGCCAAGACTATGATTGTGCTTGGATCGTTGCCTTCAGCAGCCAAGCCAAAAAATTGGTCATTGACCAAAGGGTGGGTGTTTGTTTGATTGCCAGCCAATTATTTTGTTTGCCCAGACGGATGCTACTTCGCCAGTTCAATTTTGCGCCAACACGTTGGCAAGTTGTGGAACTGGTGGAACAAGAGGAATAAAATAAAAGAAGGGGAATTACCAATCACGGATGACGAGCTAATTCGCCGAGTCCAATGCAGTACCTTGGAGTTCATGCAACTGTTTAAAACGAGTAAAAAGAAGCAAGCAGAGAGCAAGTGGGCACCGCCGGGTGAAGGATTTCTGAAGATCAATGTGGATGGAGCCTATACGCCAGGCGAGACTTTTGCTGCATGGGGAGTGGTTGTCCGTGACGAGGTGGGAGATGTGCTGCTGGCCCGAGCTGGTAGGAAGGAGCAGATAAATGACCCATTCGGAGCAGAGGTTGTGGCCATGTCTGAGGCAGTGGCCATGGCAGCTGACATTGGCGCCCTCTGTGTCGTCTTCGAGACCGATTCACAGCTACTGCAGGAAGCACTCGACTTGTCCAAGGTTGACTCGTCCCGATACGCGATTGTTATCGAGGACATCAAGCTTCAGCTTAAATTGTGGTTCTCTAAGCAATCTATTACTTTCTGTAGACGCGGAGCGAACTCGGTAGCGCATGAACTTGCGAAACTTGGTAGTTTATGTTTGCCAAATGATAGCATTGGTTGGACCAATATTGTACCACCCCATGTGGCTGTTTGTGTGTCGGGTGATTTGCCCGAGCACCGTTAAGTTATAAAGCTTTGCTTTCTCTCAAAAAAAGAAGTTGTGGGCGGCTAAAAGTTCCGCCAATATTTTGGCAAGCCAATGATTTGGTAGGGCAAGCCAATATCTCTTTCTTTGCCCGACCTATGGGTCCCTTACCTACAACGTATGGCTGAGTGGTATGACCCATAAATCGGTCTTGGGAAGCTTTTAAACTACAGTTGAGAGCGGTTTTTTTTTCTGGTTTTGTTAACCTTCTACAGCCTTTTTTTCTTTGTTTTTCTATTCCAGCTTTTTATTTATCTTTTTCTTTTTTACTTTGAATATTTATTTTTTGATATATTTTTCCTTCTTTTTTGTTTCTTATAATTCTGTCTTATTTTGCTATTTTTTATTTATGTTTCTTTTACATTTTCACGTTTTTTGTTTTAAAAAGTGAACATTTTTTATATGACATTCACTCGTGGTACTCCCCATTCATATATATAGGGCCTAATGTGTTTTTTAAGATTGCCTTTGACTATTGATAAGATTAATAGTATATGAGTCGTATAATGTAAAATTATATGTCATATTATTGCGCTAACATGTGGTCAAAGTTAGCCTAAAAAACACATTAGGCCCTACATAGATGGATAGAGGGAGTACCAAAATTTACATTGTCATAAATATATTTTTAAACATGAGAATATTTTGTCAAGTGTTATAATTATGTTTTCATATACCGTGAACATTTTTTTAAAAAAGTGCGAATAAATGTTTGCATTTCATGAACTTTTTTAAAACCATCATAAATGTTTTTGAATTGACATGAACAATGTCTTAAACGGGTTAACATTTTTTTAATGTCGTAAACAATGTTTTCTAATGGTACGAACATTTTTGGAAACTAGATGACATTTGGTATAGACGACGAATATTTCAAATTCATATATAAGAATATTCGGTCAAGTAGACACAAAAAATTACTCACACACGATGAACATTTTTTAATTAGACTATGACAATTCAAACACATGATGAACACTTTTTAATACGTTATGAATACTTTCTAATACACGATGAATATTTAATTATATCTTGAATATTTCTAAAACTAAAACAAGTATGAAAAATATAAAACAATTGTAATTAAAAGAAAATAAAAAAATTTAAATTTTTATTTGAGTCATACAAAATCATACATTTGTTTGGGCAAATATAAAATCATACCTAGCCTTTTTTTACCGGTTCATATCCAATTCAACCAGATTAGCGGTAACAGGGTGTAGTAGAGGGGGATCCTATTTCACAATGCGTATGATTGGGCCCGCCCAAAATATCTCGTGCCCAAACTAACTGTAACTTTTTAATTTATTATTTTTATACAGTTTTTTCTCAAATTCCTTGACATTTTAAAATTTCGTTTTTATTTTAATTTTAAATTTTGTATTTTGTGGACGATTTTCAAATTTTTGAAGATTTTTTAAATAGTGAAATAGTTTGAAAATCTTGAACAAGTTTCCAATTCGTGAATATTTTTTAAAAATTGTGAACATATTTAAAATTCGTGAACAAGTTTGTACAAATTCACAATAATTTCATAAAATTTCGAAAAGTTTCTTGAAACTGACGCAAATTTTTCTGAAACTCATGAACAATTTTTTTTTGAATCATCAAACATTTTGAAACGATCAATTTTCTTGATATTTGGGAACTAAAATGGAATCCGAAAACATTTTTTGCCAACATAATTTAGAAAACCATGAGCATTTTATGAATTCATGTATTTTTCGAATTCATAAACATTTCTGAACACACGAACATTTTTGTTTCTGCAGACATTATTTTGTCACATTGTGAATAATTGTTGAATACAGGAGCATTTTCTATAAAATTCACGGACATTGTTTGAATTCACATACAGTCTTTTGAAACTCATGAACAATGTTCACATATATGAAGATTTTCTAAAATTATTAACATTTTTTGAAACCATGAATATTTTATGATTTCTTAAACACTTCACTCAAGATTGACATTTTTTATTTTAGAAACTTTTTGTAATCCCAAATTATTTTAAAGAAGAATAAAAAGCAGAAAAGAAAAAAATAAAACGATAAAATGACAAATAAAAAAAGCGCGACCAGTCCTGTAAATGGGCCGGCAAAAGTGGCGCGTTGGTGGAACTGA